TGCTATGTAGATAGAGAGTAATGAACACATCTGAAAATAACCATTTTTGACATGTCATTTAATTCCATTTTGAACAAAAAAATGTACATAAACATTCTTCAAAGAGATTGATTCTTCTTACGCTTATGCTCGACTGCTCCAATCACCAGTAAAATTGGAAAGAAATGATCTGATTTCCTTCTGACCTGAGGCTTCCTGCCACAGGGCGGTTTAGCTCAAAACAGGGCACTCCTGGAAGATACTTCTCTGGTGTGCTGCATCTGGTCATAATACCTTTCTCTTCCTAATAGGACTTTCTCACCAATCATCCATTGAGCTTGAGCTCATCTCTTAGGAGGATTTAGATGTAGTTTTCCCCAGGAGAATTTTATACCAAAACATAATTACCATTGATCGGTCACAAATCTTTCTGTCAGTACTATTTCCATCTTAGATGCTCAGAACCCTGGAGAATATCACAGAGTTATGAAAACAATGTTGACTTCTCATATATTAGAAAATGAAGCTATTTGAAATGGCTAATTTTAAGATGTTTTAAATTTTTGATCTTTGTGAAAGTTTTATATACTTATATATGCCATATTATTTTTTGCTGCTTTTAATGTTAACCTGCTAGCTAATAAGAGCTACCTGGTCTCTTATTGAGGTGTTATCAAATAAATAAGTAAGCTGCAAAACTTCTCGTATGTTGTCTGGTGACTTAGTCAATCAGTTGAGTCACATCATGAATTAATCAGGGTTCTCCAGACAAACAGACCCATAGGGGATCTGTAGATATTATAAGGAGATTTTCTATGAGGATGACTTGTGTGATTATGGAGGATAAGGAATCATCATGAAAGCTGACTGCAAACTGGATAAACCATGAAGATTGGAGTATAATTCATTCCTCAGCCAAGGTCTGAGTGAGAAAAGAGAAGGAGTGGGGTAGGCTTCTGAAGAACAAGGAAGCTGTCTGACCCAGGGTAACAGAGGAGAATTAACCCTTCATTGTCCTTTCATTTTGTTCTGGCTTCAAGGAAATGCATAATGCCTGCATGCCATGTTAGTGATGGAAATATTCTTCACTCAGACTGATAAAATGTTCATCTGTTTCTGAAACACTCTAACCCAGAAATAATGTTCAACAGCTACCTAGGAAACCCACTAAGCCAGTCAAATTGGCACATAAAATTAATAATTGCAGTGGCTTTCTATAATTTTACCCAACTAAGTGTAACTAAGTATTTGTCATAAGTTTCAAACTGTGTTTAAGTGCTTGTGACTTAAATAATTCTCACAATGAACCTATGAGGACAGCACTATTACCTTTATCACCTTCATTTACAAATGCATAAACAGCAGGAGTGACTGTGATTAAGTAGTTGAAAACACACAGCTAGTATACACAGGCTAAAATGAGCTCTGATATCTTTGACTCTGAAGCCTGACCTTTCATTCACAGGGTCCAAATCTTCCACTCTGTGTCCTGGCTCAACCTCCTACTTTGTTAAGTCAGGCAGCACTATAGAATATGAACCACATTTCATAGCCTGTGTATCTGACATAAGAAACTTTGAGCATTATGTTTTACTTTCTATGAAATTTTCTACTTATATCTACAAATAACCTTGGAAAAACTCATTATGCATAAGACATTTCATGAATAATTGATATAATATGGAAGAAAATCCCTTGCTACCTATGGGTCAAAATATTTTAGTTATTTTTGAATAAGTAAGGAAGATTAAATTATCAACAAAAAAATTCATTGGTACAGGCACATGTGTTCAAGTCATTATGTAGTCTGGAGACTTAGCTTATCTGGCAAGTGACCCAGTGTGGTGATGCTAGTATACTCTGTATGATCTGAGGATAAAAAGCTGTTCAACATATGTTGAGTGCAATTCCAGTGGGTACCACTGAACGTGTCTCCAATTCTGAAAGCCAGGACATTATCAGTGCTCAGTTACAGGTGTAGCAATTTCTTCATTCTTGGCATCTTTTACAGGCAATATTCAGAGCTAGTAGGACTACACTAAGAGGCATGACACGTTGTTTGTTGTTGTGTGTTGTGCTGTGTTTGTGTGTATAACTTTTATCATCCCGCTCAAGGACTTTGGAAGCGACCTTTTCACACAATATTACAGAAAAAAGTCTTTTGAAAATCCAGTCAGGATTGTGGCTTATCAGGGACTCATTGTATCCAGTTTTATACCTACTGAATAAAATAAAAGGGAAATGAAAAAGGCTTTTTACTCAGATGAAGCATTGAATTTCAAAAAGGGTTTTAGAACATAGGTTCTGCATAATATTGATTAATTGTCTTTTATGGCAATATTCTGTGTCATTAAAATGCACAAAGTAACAGGCATACAGACCATTCAGGGGAAATGATTTTCTAAAGAGACATACACATATTTATTTGCTCACTATCATTCATTTATTTTGTTCTTCAAACAATATACTGAACTCAAATTAGGGCAACAGTGTGCCAGTTACTGGAGATAAAAAGTAAGTAAGACAAGACACTAGACTTTGAAAAGATTATGGCTTCACAAGAGAGACAGAAATGTAAGGAAAGGATTGTAAGGAGGTGTGATTAGTTACAATGTCTGTCTTACAAGACACATTGGCAACATTTTACTGTGTCAGTATGAATATTTCATGCACATCATTTTCAATTGGTAGCATAATACACTGCTAAAGAAATGTTTCATCAGAGTCCTGACCAATTCTAAACTTTTGTTATTATACTTTACTATAAAATGATACTCAGTGATCATTTTCTTAGGCTTTTTTCCTACATTTTCTCTTGAGATACATAATCAGAAGAATTATTGCTGAGTCAATGAATATCAAAATTGTAAGACTACTAATGCATATTATACACTGTCTTAAATGGTAAAATGTATGTTTTTCTAAAAACATATGAAGCTAACTATTGCACTGAATCCTTGATCGATATCACATACATTATATATTACATCAGTGTTTAGAAAAAGCCTTACAAATTTGAAAAAGGGTATTTCATATTAATTTCTACTTTTTATCATTAGCATTCTCCCATTGTTATCCAGCCATTTTTCCTTTTTGATAAATTGTATTTGTGTTTTGCTGTATTATTTATTGAAATATTAATAATTTCCTTCTTGGTTGCATGAATTCTTTATAATTATACAAAAGCAGCTGCTCCTGTCTTGCCTGAAGAATACTCTTCTGTAGTTCTAACTGTTCTTGAAGGGCCTTCAAATGACCTTGCTGGGCTGCGATAGTCTCTGAGGATGTCAAAGGATGATCATGTATCTGGCTGATTGCAGAATGGCCTATGGAAACTGTACTTTTGTTTATGATTGAAAGGGGTTCCTGAGTTTTTCCAGACTCAACTTTAACAGGGAGAAAAGTAAAAGAATGTTCAGATGCCAGTGGTAGAATGAAGATGGTTCAGTGAGCTTAGGATATATTTTCACTGTCATCTGAAATTTGTTGAGATTCTAAAGCTTGAAAAGTTGGTACCCTAAGTGTTTCAGGTATTTCTCTAGCACCCTGTAATACCTGTGGCTGATCATATGACAAAGCCCTGAAAGCTTATGAGAATCTTTAGGGACCAATTTATAGTCTCTCTGTTGTGTTTCAGTCTTAGAGAACTGCCTTAGATATTCCTGTGATTCTATGTTGGCTAAAACATCTGAAGTTCTTACTATTTCTGTTGTTTTTATCTGTCTTTGTGGAAAGTGATTTTGTCCTGGTACCTGAATATGATCTTGTTCTAATTTACAGATCTGTATGGGTTGCATGTTAAGACTTAACTTGAGTCTCTGACTTTGATTCCAATGCTCTGATATAGCAGTACGTTTTTCAGATTTCTGTGGTAGTATTGATATAACAGAATCAGATATCAAAGATGTGGCTGACATGGATGGATACCTTCCTTTTAATATAGTTTGATACTCTAGTAATCGTTTCCTGGCAGTTTCAACAGATTGCTTGTGTAACCTATCAAAAACAAGCAAAAACAAGTATATTATTATTTTTTTAATGAACGAAAAATGTCTTACATTCTCAAGTGTTTATAAATTCAATTTAATAAACAGCAATCTAGGACTGTCCATGATCATGGTGGAAAGGGAACAACACTCCTACTGCCCTTGGGAAATCTCTATCCCAACCTATCTTGGGATACAGAGACTCCCAGCTAGAGTATCACATAAACAAATAATAAATCCTGAAGACATAGCACACTGTCAGACAGAAATTATGCTTAAACTAATACCTGTTTTGTTGTAAAAGCTGTTGTTGATAGTTACGAATCATCTGCCTATGTCCATCTTCATCAGAAATAACAGTGCATGATGCCAGAGCAGTGCCAACCTAAAGAAGAAAAAACTAATTAAAGGCACACTTTGGAAGCAAGTACTAAAATATCTCATATAATGTTCTGTAATTATACATTTTCATGTAGCTTTGTACTTTATAATTAGGTACGTGGGACTAGGAATGTAGACTGGTGGTAGAGTGTTTGGCTAGCATGCACAAGATCCTGGCTTCAATCCCCAGCACTGTAATAATAAGTAAAAGCACCAAGTGTTCTTAAAAACAAACTTATCTAGTGGTGATGTCTGCTCAGCTCTAAACATTACAAATAAGTTAATTAAATAAAAGAAAAAACAGAAAAAGTCCAGCACAGTAGCACATGCCTGAATGCAGCACTTGGGAGGCTGACGCAGGACCATGGAGAATGGAGACCATGCTGGGCTACACAGCAATACCCGACTTCATACAACACCTCAGTGAGACCAGCTAGTACAACTAGTGCGGAGTCCAAAAGCTCAACATACAAATTTCCCACAAATCACAGTCTTACCTATATTAGCGCTCAACAGAAACTAAAGAAAAAACCCATAGGTTGTTGCAAATGTAGGTTATTAAATGGTCAAATAAAAAGAAAGGCATTTAATTTTCTGACTGTCATGACCATATTTCTTGACGCCCACCCCCCCAGTGGTTTATATAGGGATGAGATTTCCTGCATCCTACCTTAGTCTGTTGAATATTTTTTCTTTTTTCTTCTTCCAGCTGAGCCCTGAAGCAATCGGTTTCTAATCTTAACTTCTGTTGTTCAATTTGTTCCAGTAATTCTAACTGCTTTTGCTTTTGCTCTTCTATTTCCATTATCTAGGTGATAAAAAATACTATTGATCTGTTAACAACAAGCTCATACAAAAGAAACTTCATATGCATTACATTAAAAAAGAAATAGGTCTTGTCAGCAAGTGGATCTATTATCTATGAAGTGTTGCTAGCACTGCCAAAGGATGACAGGAGGAAGAGATGGGAAAAGAGGAAAAGAAAAAAGGGAGAAAAGTATAAAGGAGCAGAGAGAAAGGAAGAAATAAGCATATTAACTACTTCTGTTTTTTGGGAGTGTGGGAAAACCGTGATCACCACAAAGAACCACCTCCAGAGAAGCTGTCAACACTGAGCAGCCAAATTCCATGTTCACATGTATAAACTCACTTCTTTATTTGTATGAATGATGACTAAAGAAATTAAATATTAAGGTCTTATGTAATACTTTGATTTCTATCTGGAAGCCAAAGGACTAGTCTTTTGTTGCCTGCCAAATGCAGTACTTAGTGCAGTCTCCGACACATAAATGTTTACTAAATAAGTGGAAAAAGGAATGCATTTGCAGTTTTATAAAGAGCGCTTCTATTAGAGTTAATGAGGACTATCTTGTTTTCAAAATAAAAAATATCTCAGCCTGATCCCTTCCTTATTCTCAATCAGGCAATAATGGCTATAGCAAGCTCCTCTGCGACAGGAGCCACTGAATTTAGACTGTCTACAGGCTTGGCAACTCTAGAACTGTATTATTAATAGACATCATTAGCTAAATAGGACTATTTAAGTTTTTTGTTTGTATGTTTTCTGTGGTGCTAGGGATGGAACCCAGGGCTTCGTGCATGCTAGGCAAGCACCCTACCACTAAGCTACATTCCCATACCACATGTGACTGTTTAAATTTACATTAATTCAAATTAAAATTTAAAGTTCGGTACTTCAGCTACACTAGTCACACTAAGTATTCAACAGCTCACCTGGTTAGCAGCTACCACACTGGGCATATGATATGGAACATCACATTATCGTTATGAAAAGGGCTACTGGATACCACCATTCTAGATTAGAAAACTTCTAAGAAATACTAGCTCAGAGAATCCTACTTCTCAATTGAAAAGAAATCATTTATTACAAGCAGAAGCTGGAAGCCAGTGGCTTACACCTGTCACCCTAGCTACTCAGGAGGCAGAGATCAGGAGGATGAGGTTTCAAAGCCAGCCCCAGGGCAAAGACTTCTCAAGACCCTATCTCGAAAATACCCAACACAAAACAGGGCTGGTGAAGTGACTCAAGAGGTAGAGTGCCTGCTTAGTAAGCATGAGGCCCTGAGTTCAAATCCCAGTACCATCTCAATAAATAAGTATAGATGAAACCAAACCTGTAGTTGTGGAGGCTGGCATGATGGAACACGACTGTAATCCTTGCCCTCGGGAGGCAGGAGTATCATGAATTGAAGTTCAGCCTGGACTACAGAGCAAGACCACGTCTCAAGAAAACAAAACAAAGCAACTCCTTCCTCCAGACTAAAGGGGAGTACAGACATGACAACTAGATACAGTATATGATCTCAGACTGGATCCCATCCCAGAGGGAAAGAATCCTATAAAAATACTGCCAGCTGACTGAATTAGAAATGAATATAGATTAAAGTACTGGATCAATGGTAAACGTCCTGAATCTAATATCTGTCATATGATTATGTGAGAGGATGTCCTTGTTATTAAGAAATACATATTGAAGCCAGGCATGCAGAGGCCACATGAACTTACTGTTCAAGCCCAGCATGGGCTATGCAGAAAGAACCAGCCTCAAAAAACAAAAAGGCAAAAGATATTGATGTATTAAGGGGTGAAAAATGAATGATCTCAATCAGTAGTAGAGTGCTTGCCAGTACCACAAAAAGAAAGCAAAAAGCTTTTTTCCCCTTTAAAACACTACTTTTCAATAATCTTTTGGGATTACAAGGCCCATTTAGTATCTAACATTATGACGAGGACTTGGTAGTTCAACAAATACTTAAGGCACTGTGTCAGAAACAATGTAGGATCAACTGAACTTTTTTCTCTTTTGGTTGGACCGGGGCTTGAACTCACGGACTTGCACGCAGAGCAGGCACTCGCAAAGCAGGTTTTCTACCACTTGAGACACACTACCAATCCATTTTGCTCTGGTTATTTTAAGAGATGGAGTCTTGCAAACTATTTGCCTGGGGCTGTCCTCAAACCTTGATCCTCCTGATCTCAGCCTCCCAAGTAGCTAGAATTACAGGTGTGAGCCACCCGTGGCCAGCTAGGATCAACTGAATTTTCTTAAGAGAGCCTCTGCCTTAAAAAAAAAAAAAGAAAAACCTTATAAAAGGTTTAAAATATAAAATATAAAGCAGACACGGTAAGGGTTAAATCAATAGTGTAAGTGAAAACGAAATAACATTTTATCAAATGTTTATGTAAGACAAACTAGAAAAACATGAAATCAAAAACAGCTGGAAAGTAAGACAAATTACATGATTCAAACAAAATCACAGTACCTAGAAGAAAGAAACATTTAAAAATAAAATTTCAAATGACCTGTTTCTGCCTTGCTGATGTTCTAACTCTGACTGCTTCTTCTTGAGGATGAAGTAGAACTGAGCTCTGAGCGACAGTCATGCCAGGTGGAGTCTCATTTACTTCTGTGGGAATCCCCAAAACAAAAATTAGTTTCAGTTGCTTAGAATTCTGAACCCACTACAATGCCCTGTGTTCATTTATTACATTTAATCTTACTGGGGAAAGACCTGATGAGCCTAGCAAGTGTAATACAAGGATGTGAGAAAAAGAAATACCTTGTTCTTTCCAAAGTTCTGTTTGACATGAAAGTGGTTTATCTTCACTAGAAAGTGGTCCAGACTCAATTGTCAATGTATCACTTTCAACAACTGCAATAGATGATACAATTGTTATTATAACCATACTGTCAAGCTTGAAGGGTGCAAAATAATAAAAATTTACAGATTAACATAGTCTACTTTAAGTAGAACACTTAGCTAAGATTCTGTCATCTTCTTGATGACCAGATATATTATTCCATCGAACACATGCCTAATGGAAGACCAAAATCAGAAACAAAGAAAAAGTAAAGATCTGATTAAAAATGCATCCTGGGAGGGTTTTCAAACACAACAGAAAAACGTGAAATAAGCAAGGTATCAAAGTTAAAAAAGAGAAGCTGAGGAAATGTCAGTGTATCGTTGATATATTTAGATACTAGAATTTTTATTGTTTGTGAAAACCAGAACAGAGAAGAAACTCGAAGCAATTTACTCTCACTGTTATCAGGATAACCAGATACTCTTCAGTCAAACTTATTCACTCAGTCTTTTGGCACCTAGATGCTGGGGACACTGTGGTCAATGAAAACAGGTTTCAAGTAGGTTTGAAACTTCATGTAATCATCCAAAAGACTTGTAGAATTAGAAATTGTGATAGGTACTACATTAAGAAAAGCAAACTACTATGCAATACAGTATATTAAAGATTATATTGATTAGTGGCTCAGATTTGATTTCTCTGAAGACATGCCCTTTAAGCAGACACCTAAAAGGTAAGGAAGAATCAGCTAGGTAAGGCATATGGTAACGAACAGGAAATCTATCCAAGTAGATCAGCAGGTACGAAAGGCCCTGTGAGAATAAAGATGCTTGGCTCACTCAATGAACTGAAAAGAAATCCATATATATGGAGTACAGTCAGAAAAGGGGGAAGAAAGAAGCAAGATGAGAATGGAGAAACTCTATTCATACAGAACCTCTTTCAAAAAACTTGGCTATGGACTGGACATACCAGTCCCTTCTATAGCCCTCTTCTCTATGAATTCTCTCCCCTGAAGATTGCTTCCATGCCCATGGCTTTAAATATTACATATATGTCTGATTTCCCAAATTACATCTCTTACTTTAAAAGATATTCGATTAACTTAACAAATACTAACTTTTCTGGGCACATTTTATGTATATGGCACTAGACTCTTGAGGATACTACAAATGAACAAAACAAAGATCCTACCCTCACGGGTGGGATGCAGAGGGGTAGGTGTTAAGAAAATCAGCAGAATGAATGAGAAAGTAAATTTACTGCTCATGAGATATTGGGAAAAGCTATGGAGAAAAAGCAGGGTAAGGGAGATAGGAAGTGAAGGGTGTGGGGGTACAACTGGAGAGGGGAAAGGATGCTATCTTATATAAAGTGGTCAGAGAAGGCCTCATTGAGAAAGTGAAAGTTGAATAAACATATGAAGGAAGGAGGGAGGAAGCCATGGAGAACTCTAGCAAAAAAGGATGAACAATTACAAAGACTACACAAGCCTATGTTTGTTTGTTTTAGAAATAGGGAGGAAGCTGGCATTTAAAGTACAATGACTGGGGAGGGAGGTGTAGCAAAAAACGAAATCAGATAGATGGAAAGAGCCGGAGTGTGGGGCTGTGTGTGTTGTGTGTGGTGTGTGTGTGTGCGCGTGCGTGCAGATCACACATACAAGGCTCTGAAGCCACTGTAAACAGTTTGCTTTTTACTGAGTAAAATAGCCATTGGTGGGCTTCACCCAGAAGAATGCCATGGGCTGACCTGTGTTTAACAGGATCACTCTGTGAAGTAGGTTCTAGCAGAAAAATGCAAAAGCTGAAGACAGCAGACTACTACAAGATAATGGGAAACAAATGTGGCTTGAACTAGGATGGCAAGTGGTGAGATATAGTTAGGATTTGGATAGATTTTGAGTATGAGGCCAACATGATTTACTGACTTAGGAAATGAAAGGAGGGAACCAGAAAGATTACGAACTTTTTGGCTTGAGCAAAGGAATTAAAATACTGCCAGGTACTGAACTGTGAAGGATTATACAAAAGGCAGAAATAGGGTGAGAGGGGATATTAAGAGTTCAGTTTTGCACAAATTTTAGATATACAAAGGAAGATGTCAAATACATAGGTAAATAAGTAAGTTAAATGCAAAGGGGAGGCCAAGTCTAGAAACACACACTTTGACATCAGTAAATAGATGATAACGTAAAGTATAACATTAGGGATCAACGAAAGGAGTTTTGATATGAAAGAAAAAACAGATTTGAGGAATTAGCTCTCAGGGCAGAGGAAATGATTATGGAAATGTGGACAAACAGCAAAGGAAACAAAGAGGAGGAACCAGTGAAATAGGAAAACCAAGAGGACCATGTCAAGAGGTCATGCGAAAGACATTATTATAAGGCTTTCTGTTTTATGTAGAATGAAATCCAACATGCAAGCATAGACTGCAAGCCACGTCTCTCAAAACCTTCTTGCAAAACATTTCTACACAAACTCAATCACATCTTTAAAGGAATCCAAAAGATAAAACTACGAAACAATACAAAATAAGAGAGGAGTTACATCTTCACAATTCTCATTTGCTCATACATAATCGCAGGAAATATTATTGGTATGATCTTTGTGACTTCTGAAAATATTTTAATAGCCTACTTAAGGGAAAAAAATCTTTAAAGATTTAAAATTAACAAATAAAGAAACACCAAGTTTCTGATGGGAAATATAAAATACACTAAAAAGCCATTAACGTGGTTTTATTTTTGGTCTTGGAAATTCTTCTTTCAAAAGTCCTTCCTAAGAAATAAAGATGTATGTAAAGATCCAGGTGTGGTATGGCTGGGGTTGTGGCTCAAGTGCCTAGAGCGCCTACTTAGGAAGCACAAAGCCCTGAATTCAAACCCCAGTACCACCTCCCCTCCCCCAAATAAAAGATCCAGGTATGGTGGCACACATTTAGAATCTCATCAGTTGGGAGGCTGAGGCAGGAGGATAATGAATTCAAGGCCAGTTTGGGCTACATAGTGAGACTGTCTCAAAAAGCAAATAAAGAACCAAACAATAATAGAGGTTAGAGGCCCAGCTGAAGAGGTAGAGTGCCAAGTTCAAAGCCCTGGTTCAAACTCCAGTAGTACCAATGGGGAAAAAAAAGAGTAATAGAAGACCTAGAAATAAGCCCACATAGCTACAACCACCTGATATGACAAAGGTGCCAAAACATGCATTGGAAAAAAGACAGTTTCTTTGAAAAATGTTGTTGGGCAAACTGGATACCCACATGTAGAAGACTGGGCATGGAGTGGCTCAAGTGGTAGAGTGCCTGCCTAGCAAGCACGAGGCCCTGAGTTCAAACCCCAAGGCTGCCAAAAAAGAAAAAAAAAAACAAACCACATGTAGAAGACTGAAACTAGACCCTACCTATCTCTCACCTATACAAAAAAAAAAAAATCAGTTTAAATGGATTAAAGACCTTGATGTAAGACCTGAAAATCTGAACCTTATAAGGGAAAACACCTGATGACTTTCTGAATAGGACTCCAATAGTTTATGAAACAAGAGCAAGAACTGACAAGTGGAGACTGGGGCATGTTGGCTCAAGTGAGAGTGTCTCCCTAGCAAGCGTGAGGCTCTGAATTCAAACCTCGGACCACTGGGGACTCGGTGTGTGTTGGGGGTAGGGGGAGTTGGACTGTGACATAAAAATGTGGGGGGAAAAAAAGAGATCTGGGCAAAGACGTAGAAATACTAAACCAGGGCTGGAGGTGTGGCTCAAGTGGTAAGAGTGCTTGCTTTGCCAAAAAAACCAAAAAAGCAGGAAATACTGATACTAAACCAACAAACAAAGCAAAAACAACACCAAAAAACCAAGAATAGAAACAGCTTAAATGCCACAGCAACAGGCTACTGGTTAATTTCAGTTTGATTTCGCTAGAATTAATGTATATATGAATTACTACTACATAGAAAGTGGTCTAGGAGCACTAAGGTTTTCAACATTTGTTTGTTGCCTTTAAGTAGCAGGATTATGTTTTAAAACTTTTGACTCTACTCTTGATTTCTCAGGTATGTGCATATTTTGAACAATCTAAAGAGCTGTGAGCTATAAAACAGACAAGCGGATGGAGCCACCTTGTTGCTCAGAGAATAATGTTCTTCCTTGCTGCCAACTGCTCCTGCTGCTTTACTTCCAGTCTCACTAACAGTTGTCATTTCACCTTCATCTTCAGACATGGATTTAATAGTCCAGAGAGATTTTTGGCTTCGAATCTTATTTAATAATTTTTTAAAAAGAATTTTTGAAGTGATATGCTGAGTGTTCATAGCCAAGGGGTCTAAAAAAAAGAAAACAGAAAAAAAACTTAATACCTGTGATATATGCCAGGCAAATTACTCATCTTTATACTCAGTTATTGTTACAATCACTTAGTTAAAAACAAAAGCACAACTTTGTTTTCCTTAACATTTATAATTTAGCAGTATTGCCACACATTAATTTTATAAACCAGAATAATTTCTCAACTCAAATAGGAAAGCTGCCAACATGTGACTGTTTTCTAACAATATGCACGTGACATGAACTTGAAGTTTAGACACTTCTCAGGAGGACACTTGTTCTGCTCACTAAATGACATAGTGCATAATCCCGATTAACTTCTGGCTAAAGTCAGTATTTAAAACATGCACTGTGAGTTTCTCTCTGCTAGAGAATAGTCCCAAATGTGGCTCTGTGGCAAACTGGTTACGCCCATGTCATTCTCCCACCTACTCTCATAAAAGAGACCCTCAGTTATCCAACACATACACAAAAAAAACCCGAAACAAGGTATTTCTTCAAGCATTCTTTCATACAGGCTGACAGTACTAATAATTCCCTTTTTTTTTCTTTTTTTTATGGTACTGGGGTTTGAACTCAGGGTCTCACACTTGCTTGCTAGGTAGGCACTCTACCACATGAGCCATGTCCCCAGTCAGAGAACTAATAATTCTCTATGACAACAAAGCTGTGATGTAAATATATGCTCTGGCTAAATAAGGAATAAAATTTAAGAATCTCTTTGAAGGTTGAAAACTGGCAAACTATAGTTCCTTACCCACATTTAAAAACAAAACAAAAACTCTATCTGGGTACCAGTGGCTCACACCTATAATCCTTGCTACTCAGGAGGATTGTGGTTCAAGGCCAGCCCAGCCACATAGTTCTTGAGAGAGACCCTATCTCAAAGATACCCAATACAAAAAAAAAGGCTGGCAGAGTGGCTCAAGTGGTAGAGGGGCTGCCTAGCAAGTGTGAGTCCCTGAGTTCAAACCCTAGTATCACAAAAAAAAATAAAAATAAAAAAAAAATTCTAACTTAACAAAAAAGAATGCACAATACAGAGTTTTATAGTTACATCTATGTAACATTATCCAGATCTTTTTGTTTTCTTGGTTTTCATTTTCATTAGCATATATTCATCGTATAGGGGGGAATTCATTAAGCCAATTCCAAGTAGCCATATTACTGAACATTGGTTAGACTGCCCCCACCATCATCCAGACACTTATGTGGAACACTTCAGCACCTTGAAGGTTCTTTCTGCTTCTTCCCAATCAATACACTCTAAAGATAACCTTAGTCTTACTTGTTTTGTGTTTTAACTTCATATAAACTCACAATCATATATGTAGGTAATAATTTCTGCCTGCTTCTTTCAATCACCGTTGGTTTGTGACTCACTCATTTTTAAGAAATAGATTAGTTACCAATATATTTTTTCTCAGTACTGGAGATTAAACCCAGGGCCTCACACATACTATACAAGAGCTCTACCACCAGAATAACATCCCCAGCCTTTAGCTGTGAATATTTTAAAATAAGGATTTAGTAAACAACAGGATTCTTAGAGGTTTTTTTGTTTTTTGTTTTTTCTTTTAAAGAGAATGTATCTCACCAAGTTCCCCAGGCTAGCCCTGAACTCTTGGGCTCAAACAATCCTACTGCCTCATCCTTCTGAGTAGCTAGGACTATGGATGTGTGCTACAATGTCTAGTTTCCCAACTTTGAAAAGTTTCCCAACTTTGAAAGATACTGGCAACAATAAGTCAGCAATCCTATGTGGGATCAAGCAGGAGGTGAAGAACAACCATTCTCCCTTAGGTTATGCCAGACCTACAATTCTGACAAACTACAGAGATCTGCATGATACTCCCATGAAAGAAACAAACAAAGATGATGAATGGTGAAAATATCTTCTTAAAGACACTACTGATCTAGTAAGAAATTAAGACTCTGCCGAAGGCATAAATTAAGTTTAAGTGGGAACCCTGGAAGAAAGGCGAGTGAGCACAGAAACCATCTTAAAGTGAGTCTATGTAAAACTCAAAACACAGTAACCTATACTTGTTTGGACAGCAATGGGGGCATAGCAAAAGGCAGATAAAGCTTAGAGCCCCTACTTGAGGATTCTAATACAAGACTTAAAGTTGGAACCCTACAGGGCTACATTCACAATGTCCCGTGCAGATGATACGAAGTCTGAGTGGTTTTAGTAAAGGCAGTACCCATAGACACGTGGTGGTGGGGGAATATACAGAGGTCAATTCAATGAAGGTGACTTGGTCTTTAAGGTGAGGAAGGCAAGTGTCTGGCTTGGGTAACCACAGACTGTGGTGCCATTATTCACTAAGATAAGGAAGATAGGAAGAAGTTTCAGTGAGCAAGAAATGATGATAAATGTATGGCCGGACGCTGAGTTTTAAGTACTTACAGGACAGCTGAGAGGAAAAGTTCAGGATGCCAGAGTCAGACATGAATATCAGGAGACCAAAGTTTGCGTTATGCAACACTATACAGAAAGAACCCAGCAGTAAATTAAACACAGTAGGGTTTCTGTTCTAAAAATGCCAACCCTTCAAATGAATTCATAATTAAGTATCTAACTTAACCTAATACTTTGCATACTTCATGTACATATGAGTACAATAGCTCTCCTCCTGTGTGTATAAAAATGTCCTTTCTTCCTGTCACCGTTCCCATTTGTATCAGTCACTGTTTGTACTTAAACTAGAATAGATTTTCCTGCTGACTGATGATCAACATTTGTTTTTCTGTGAAATACTGTAATATTCAGCTTTGAAGGAGCTTTTTACTGTTTCATCAGGACAGATTACTTCAGAATCTGTCACTTGAAGGTCCTCAGGTTTACCTTTATTTTCTTGTTCCATTGAAAGGTCCAGGTCTTCATCTTGGATCTGGTCAGTCACAGTGGGCAAAGGCTCTGGTTCAAGGTGCAAAATCAGATTTCCTTTCACCTCTTAAAAAAGAAATATAAAGACATGTTTCTATCTCAACATGATTAAAGAGTTTGATCATTCATAAAAATCTGAAGGCTATTATAATTTGAACATTTAAATATGAGGGTCTCTTTCAAACTGAGAGCTTATTCAAAAAGAAAAACTGCTTCATCATTACAAATATATTTTCCCATTAAAACATTTAAAAGCACTGCTGAAAATCTATGGAAAATATCTTACTTCTGTCTGCATTGTACATATCTTCAAAGGCAAATTCCAGCTCTCTCTGCCAGTCATCTTTTATTTCACTTCGTTTGTATGGAAGTTCAACTAGCTGTGGTGGCATTTGTGCTACAGTCTGTCTTTTACGTGCCAGGTCCTCTTGTTGCAGCTGTTTGAGTTCTTTCATTAGCTTCTCTTGATTCTTCAAGAATAGAGATTAATGACAGAGGAATCAAACTTTGGCTAGTATCACTAACCAGGGAGGGAAAGTGGGGAGACCATGAGGAGCAGGGCTTAGGCTTCCTTCCCCTGCCCTCCCATTTGTTCTGCACCAAAACACATTACATTTAATTAATTTATCCACTCAACAAACATTTGCTGAATACCAGATACTGCAATAAATTCTCGGGGAAAAAAAATCTCAACCCTAACCTAATTATGAGACCAACAAAGAAGTAGCATTATGTTAGTAGCAAAAGAGAATGGTACTGGTTAGGCAATAAAGTTACAAAAGTGTCTGACTTCTGAGGGAAGTCATGAAGTTACTTTCTATTTAAGTTTCCATGGCTCCTGATATATATGTATCAGGTAAGCACTGAGATCAGAGTGACTGTGGATTAACTGAGAGTCACTATTGTGACTCTCATAATTAAAAGGGACCTGTCTATCTCTTTAAGCGTAGAGTATGCCTAATATGAAAGTTTAAGCAGAGTTTTAGTGAGTTATCTAACCGAATTTTGGTGGTGAAGGGTAAAGAAGAGCAAGGGAAACTGCTCAGTGATGGGATGAGAATTTAGTTGGATAAAGTGGGTATAGGAGTAGTTGAAATAACAAGAAAACAACGGTGCACAAGGTGTGGAGATGAAGGCATGTGATGCTCAAAGCACACACTAGAGCAAGGGCTAGAGCATGGAGGGCAAGGGGATTAAAGAGAAATACGTAACTGGAGAGGCAGATAGAGGCCACCCACTAGTCACAGCAGACCCAGCAGGAAACAAGTGCCAGACCACAACAAGGTCTACAGCAACATGGCTCAGATAGGAAAGGGAAAACCGTCTATTAGCACTGAGATTACAGTTCTGGATAACTCTTATGTAAGGAGCATTAATTCTGCAAGAAGGTAGAAGAGCCTGCATACTCTCTGGCTCGTGGGAACTGTGGTGTGGTACTCTGCCAGTATTACTTGTGGTAACCATGACTAGTACCACTAACATTCACTGTGAACTTGTGAAATTCTACACACATTTCTAAAGGCTTCATGAAACTCAGTTAATCCTCATCAAACAATGATGAAACATTGCTCACAAAGGCTAAGTCACTTATCTGAGATCAAACAGCAAGTAATGAAGAGAGGCAAATCCATGCAAGCTGGAGCCTACATCTTAAACACTCAATACTGCTGTTTTTATGATGAATGGGTTTAGTTTATGATTTTTTCTCTCATGTGTATTTTTTCTATAGGTGTTAGCCTTAGATGAGGAGAATGACTAGTAATTTACACATTCAGTTATTTTTGTCACAAATTTACTTCCAATTTATAGAAGCCAAGGGAAAAGGTCTTAATTTAGTTCAAATAGTATAAATAAACTTTTATGAGATAAGAGTTTAATTTCCATAGAAGTACTTAAAGACTCCTTACTAAGGTGGGTGTTTAAAATTCCCAAATGCATTAGCAAATTGAGAAAATAAAAGTACACTTCCAACAAGATGAATTGTTTTATGCTGTTACAATGCTTACTGACTGAACAATCAGCAGGACAAAGTAAGGCTAAAACTATCCATATTTTTAGGTTGACAATACTTTCTCAAAGCTCCATGATAGCAAGGATCATCACTTTACCTTTGAATCAATAGTCTGCTTTGCTCAATAGATATGCAATGAATCTAATCCTCAAAATTACAGAGCACAAATGAAGCCCAAATAATTACATTAGAAAAGGGATTAATCTTCTCAGGCTCTTTCTGGATTAAATAAACTTAAAAACCAGGAAAATTTTTAGATTTAGTGATACACTGTGAGAATAACTTAACCTAACTAAACCTGAGTCACATGAGTCAGAGAGCGTATGTAACACCCTTCACATCCCCTTGCTTTGGGGCCCAGCACCACCCACTTCTGTAATGCCATCAGAAACAGTCACAGAAGTTCTTACTTGGGCCAAATGGATCTTTTTCATTGCTTGGAAACCCCGTTCATGTGCCTTTTCAAACTGCTCCATTCTCTCCCGTGCTGCCTGTTTTTGTAGTTCTTCTAATCGTTTAGCTTCTTCTTCAGCAGCCAAATGAGCATCTGGCTAGCAGTCAATAACATTTTAGATAATTTTTTTTTAAAGTGTGAAACAAAAAAATTAACTGAAAAACAAAACTTTAAAAGCGTGCTTTCTATTCATTTAAAATTAAAATTAAAAAAATAAGCATTCTATTAATAAATGCCCACAATTATCATCAGCTTATACACATACAAAGGATCAAATTGCTAGTATAAAGTCTTATAAATTCACTTCAAACTAGATTAGGCTTTGTTCATCCAAATACATTCCCCCAGGTTTTTTTTTTTATTTTTGTGGTACTGGGGTTTGAACTCAGGGCCTTATGCTTATTAGGTAGGCTCTTTACCACTGAGCCACTCAGCCAGCCCTTTTTTTGTGTGTTGGCTATTTTTAAGATAAGAGTCTGGAGAACAATTTGCCTGGGCTGGCTTTGAACCATGATCCTCCTGATCACTGCCATCTGAGTAGCTAGGATTACAAGTGTGGGCTACCAGCACCCAACCTTCCATACTTTTAAAGTAAAGAAACACCAGTAAAATGACAATACTGTAGGTAAACACCCACAACCATCTAAGGCTGTGTAAGTAATTTAGAGCACGCAGATTTGATTTTGGTTTCTAGCCAACGCCAGCCGCGTGTCTTCACCTGAGAAGCACCAGAACACCTACTTTAACAGAAATGGTAGTTTCTAGACTTATGCATAACCAATGACCACGCCTTTATGCAAGTCTTCACCTCTTAACATGACAATAATATAACCAGGATTTTTTCTCATTACCTAAACATTTACTTTCAAATATAGGCAACATTTTAAATGTAACTACGAGTGGAAGTTTTTTCATACTCTGTATGCTGAAATTCTATGAGTCAACTGAAATAATAAGAAATGACCACAAAAGCTATGAACACTGTATATAAAATTAAAACTCAAATAGTGAGATAGATTAGGTAAAGAGACTGATGGCTGATAAGCAAGAGTGCACTAGACAAATAGATTTATTAAAAATATTCTGTTTTGAGCCAATAAATATTTATGCAAATCTAAGTAACACTAGGCAAACAGAAAAAGGTTAGAGTAAATAAAATTATAATCTCCATAGAATTAGTGTATTAACATGCATAACATTAAACAAAATAACCTTTAAGAACAATATTTCATTCCACTCAGTCCATGAAGTTTTCAAGAAAAAAGTTTTTAAGGAATTCTTCACCTCTCTTAAGAATTCATTGAAAGCAGAGTATCAATTTTGATAAACCAAAAATTTAAGAGGATAAACTTTGAAATAGCATACAAAATGGATGATAAGTATGTCCAATTTGGAGATAATAAAGTATATAAGAATATGAAGAAAATAAAGCATTACAAAATAGAGGGGCTGGAGTTGCTCAGGAATAGAGACTTGCCTAGCACTCACAAGGCTCTAGGTTTGATCAACAGCACCACAAGGGGAAAAAAAAAAAAAGAAATCAAGATCTGTAAACAAAGTTTGTTCTCAGTTACCAAATTTGAAAACAAGATTTTACAAGAATGCTTTATGGAGAAAAACTCTTGTAGAACTTGTGCTAATATAATTAAAATTTAAACAAAAATCTGGTTGAAATAATGAAAATTTCATTTTTAATAGTGGAAGGTGAAAGATGTGAAATTTGCAAAAACTATGAATGTCAGTCAAAAAGAGTATGTTAGGGGCCAGGTGCAGTGGCTCATGCCTGTAATTCCAGATACTCAAGAGGCAGAGACAAGGAGCATCACCATTCAAGGTCAGCCTCAGTAAAAAGTTAGTAAAACTAACTTTGTGGGAGATGTAGGTAGGAGGATCAAGGTTCAAAATACAAGACCCCATCTGAAAAATAACGAAAGCAAAAAAGGCTGGAGGCATGGCGCAAGTGGTAGAGCACCCGCCTAACAAGCACAGGCCCTGAGTTCAAGCCCTAGTAACTTAACACTTCCCCCAACAAAAGAATTTTTTTGAAAACATGCTCTGACAAAGTGCATGAGTTGTATTCTGCAGTGCACAAACGGAAGTGATGGTCGCTTTCACTGTCCTTCTTTAGCAAAGGTCGCTTTCACTGTCCTTCTTTAGCAAAGACAAATGTATTGACAGGCAAGAGATCTTGGAATTTCTTTCACAGTATATTCAAAAAGCCTCAAAGCCACAATATCAACTCTTACATGCTGAGAAGGCTAAACAAGCCAAAGTAGTTCATTTACAATCTATCCAAACATGCAAGCCAAGAATGAAATTATTTTTATATCACACTTGCTATAAGATCATAAAATTCTACTCCCGGGAAGATGCAAAATTATTGTGACATAAGCTGAGATACATATTAAAGTTCAAAGATAATTTTTATCTTGGAAGTCAGCATATTGCCTGTTGTCACATTTTAAATTCAAGGTTTAAGGATAGATTTTTTTTACCTAAGTGATTGTGTAAAGCAACAAGTAAAATACCAGGATAAACTTTGTAAAATCATATATGTGTTCTTGAGAATATTCAGAAAGCAACTTCCTTCATGACTGCATGAAGCTCTCATTTGTGGGACTACTTTACAACTACTGATCCAAAGACTGAAGGGGACAAAGGTCTTCTAGCTGCTATCAAAAGAAAAGATTAAAGACAAATGCAATAGCAGCAGTAGCCTATACTGACGGAGATGGGGGAAAAGTCTTTCTTCATTAGTCTCAGCTAAAAGGCAGCATCTATCTAATATTGCAAAAATACACTACCCAAAACAGGTTTTTCTTGTACTATAATGATATTGAAATCATAAATATTGTATAATTTTAAATAAATCACAGATTTAGTCTTGAGCCTTATAAGCTCATTCTATGATGATGGTACTCATCTTAAGTATTAACTGCTATTCATCAGTCAACCAAAATATGTAATTGTTGCACTCTGGCAAGTGCTCTAACACTTGAGCAATGACCCTCACCCCTATTTATTGCTTTCTAAATGCAAATGCTATGCTAAGTTACTTTTCTAGTAGCCAAATATATACAACATGAAAAATATTCAAATCCACTGTTTACAAAGACATAGCAATTATAATAAGAATATATCATTTGTCACTTTGAAGATGGCAATAATTTTTAATCCATAATTCTATGCAGCCATTCTCATGTATTGCTGATACTTTTTAAAAGGCAATCTTTTGATCTGTATCAAATGTTACAGTTTAGAACCACAGATTTCTCTTCTAGGAACCTACTCTTAACATACAACTAGATGCAGATATAAATGTACAAGACTATTACATTTAGAGTATTTAAAGAAGCAAAAAGACAATTAGAATGATGAAATATTATGCATCTGTTAAAAATCATGTTTTGAAAAGTATGTGTACATGTTTGTGTATGAAGACAAACTCTAATTCATTAAGATATTAACCATAATTGCTCTTTGGTGATGGAAACATTGGTACTTTTCCTAGCTTATGTTTATGTGTTTGTGGAAAAACTTTCACAAAGACCACGTATTATTTTGATAAAGTTTTAAAATCTCTTTTATGCCATAATGAAAGCCATTATTTTGTACAATTAATGCATGGTAAGAAAATCTATTTTAATAGATATCAATCTAAATAATCATCTGCTTTCTTCTATTTATATGAGACTATAACACACCTAACATGAAAAGTCAAAACATATTTAAAGAGGTTTTTTATACTTGTCAACCTAGGATGGTTAGTGGGACTGTTCAGATTTTAAAATTTGGCAACAACAGACACAGAATGACAATATAAATCAATTCAGTGATCAAAGAAGTAATAAAGTGAAGGTATGAAGAAAACAGTAAGTCAATCACCTGCTTTGTGTCCATCTGTTCACAAAAGTGGAAATATGATGGTAAGTAGAGCTATTGGTTTTCACTGAAGAAATTCTTTTCACTTCAATGTTCTGGAAAAATGGAACATAAAAAAATAGATGCTTAGGTTAAAAGCATTGTTACTTAAAGTTGGATCCAATGGAAAAAAAAAGTATTTTAATCAGTGCTTAGTAGGTCCTCATTAGGATATATTAAGAAGTAGAGTTGGTGGCCGCTGGGAGGTGATCAGGGGTCTCCTCTCATGAGTGAGGTCAGTGAGTTACCCCAGAATGAGTCCACAATACAAGGCAGTTTGGCACACTTCTTGTTTATGGCCATGTTAGTCCTCCAACAACCTGGAACTCTGCCGGCAAGAACGCCATCACCAAATGCAGCCCCTCAAAACCTGAACCACAATGTCTCTTCTCTTTATTATTTACCTAGTCAGTGGCATTGCATCATTAGCAGCAGAATATGGATTAAGACAGTAAGTTAACCTCATTCAAGTAAGTGAAAAGTCTGCTCACAGTAAAAGACATCTCTTTTTCCACAGTTAAGTTATTTCAAATTTTAATGAAAGTATCAGATCTCTAGTACTGTAAAACATCTTCTAGGTATCTTTAATACAATCAGTATCTTTTACTTCAGAAGTTCACTTCAACTTTATTTAAAGAAACAATTCATTTTGCTAGTTTTCTCCCCTAGCAAAAATGACTGAGTCCAGAACCTTGTCCTTTGCTAAACAGGTGCTCTTCCTCTGAACTACATCTCCAGCCTTAAGATATTTCTTGTAGAGTCTCTCTTTCATTGCCCATGGCCAGCCTCAGACAACAATCCTCTTACTTATTACCTCCCAAGAAGCTTTGACTACAGATGCACACCACTATGACCAGCTTACTGATTGAGAAGGGGTCTCAATAACATTTTGCCCAGGCTGGCCTCAAATTGTGATCCTCCCCAGTAGCTAGAATTACAGGCAAGAGTTCCCAAGCCCAGCAAGCACTTAATTTTAAATCTTCCCAATAAAAAAGTGTTTATAGGACATGTCAAATCAAATTACAAGCACCTCGCTACATTAATTTTTTTAAAAAAGGCCCACACTATCAGGACCCTTTCCATGTCTAATCACAAAAAGTCCACTGTAATTCAGATTGGTCTCACTTCTCAATGTTTAATGATGCAATTTAAGCTATACTTAAGAGCACCAATTCCAGAACAGAACAACTCTCAAAAAAGATGAAGTAAACTACTTCTCCCCTTTCCTGTAAGAGTGCATTTGGTCATCGACAACAGTTTATTATGTACTAGTACCTAACTAAATCAAGTGAACTAATAAGAATTTTCTTAAGTGTCAACTATGTGTTAAAATGGTAAATGATATTGAAAAGTAAAATAATGGCCCCTGCCTTCAAGGAGCTCAAATGGTTCTGATAATCAGTTATATCAGTGACGTTTTGTACACAACACAATGAGAACAATGTTCACGAAGGAATGCTGACACTTCAGCTGAGTCCCTTCTGCACTAGACTACAGCAGAGTTCTGTAACCTCTCTGTTCCTCGTCTTCTCAAGTAAAGTAGGTTCACAGCAATCCCTATAACTTATGGCCATTGAGACAGCTACTGTAGCTATCAAATAATGTATGAGAAAACACTTGTAAACACCAGATAAACTCTGGTTCTCTCACATTAAGGACTGTGATCAGGTTAACACTTGATTTTCAATTTTCCTCACCTGTGACATGGGATAATTTCTACCATGCAGAGATATTGTGGTGATTTAATGAGATACAACTAAAATAATAAATACACAGTTAGTGCCCACTCTCTCCACCATGGAACAGTTCTCTCGTAAGATTTTAGTCTATAAAATAGTGTTATTTTCTGGGATTGCTTGAAGATTTTCTTCACTTGTGAAGACTAAAAAGTTCAGATCCATTTCCCCAGGTTTCTCAGCATTCATATTTTTATAAGCTTGGAGGAATAGTGGTACAGACACGCCGATCTCCTGACTATATGACGTAAGCTACTTATAGGGTACACCTCCTTGGTCCCTAAAATGTTTTATAATCTAGTCTTTCCTAGACCAAAATCCTTTACTTCCCTGCCACACCATATGTTCACATCCAACTCAAATTATACAGAAGACACTGCTTTCCCTAACACCTTTATAGGCATGGATAATGGACCCCTTTCTAAAATAATGTTTTTTAAGTCAAATATGAACACAACCCAGGTCTTAGTTTATAAGTGTCATTTCTCCTCTAAGAAGAACCAGGGCTCTTTGTAAACACCAGAAATGGGATCCAGTAAGTTCATAGTAAAGAAGTGCTCAAATAGGAAGGAGGACACAGAGCCAGCCTGGAAAGTCTCCTACTAACAAAATTTCAGACACTAAAACATCAGAAAGAAAAAGAATAATCACTATTATAATATTATAATGACTATTATAATGGCTATGTAATACTGAATAAATAAAAATCCACAGGCCCACAGTGATATTCACAAAAGAGAAAAAAAAATTGCCATCACTGGATTATTCCACCGATCCTTTACTCTAAAAGTTGGTTAAGGGGAAAAAGCGTATGCCTGTCTTCTTAAAAGAGCTGAACTCCATTCTACTGACCAAAGAGAGCTCTCTTTCTTCTTTAAAACAAAAGTAGGCCAATTAATAAATGCAGAAGGATGACAGATACCTAGCCAGTTACCAAAGCATCACCTCACAAATTACTTGGTAACTGGAAAGGGAAACATATGACTTTCTGATGGAGAGCTCTCACAGCTGCAGCCATAACTAGTGATCAAACGGGAGCAACTGGCCATTCTGTACTTTCTGATGCGATGCATAAACCTATTCAGCCTCACCTGTAGAGTATTATCGCCAAAAGACAATCAAACCTTTAAACCTAACTTTCAGTGTCATGAAAATGCAGTGCACAATTTCACATGAAAACAAGACAAGGGAAGAAGTGAGAAGCTTGTGTAGTCTCTTCAAAGAGTCTGAAATAGGAAACCCGCTAATTTGTACAATTTAAGGCACACTAATGAAAACCATTATTTTATACAATTAACATATGCTAATGGAAAAAGATTCTAAAATGAGAATTTGGCTAGCACTGCAAAGAAAATGTTCTAGTCTAAGATAAACCAAAGAGATAAACCAAACAGAAGCAATGTGAGAGTCTAGAGCACAGCCTCATTTAAAAACAGGGAAAAGCTGTAAGGCAGGACAATCAGAGTTTAGATTATGGATGGAAATTAAATGGAATTGAGGTATTAATGCTAATTTCTTAGAGTGATGAATGTATTATGATTGTGTAAGAGAATCCCCTATTGTAAGAAGCATGCTGAAGTATTTAGGATGAAACGGTACCTCTGCATTCACATTAAATGTGTACACATATATATACAGTTATCTGACTGAAGTCTACACACAATACAAACAGGCATTGGTTGTATTTTATTTTTTTTTTGAGGTACAGGGGTTTGAACCCAAGGCAAAAAAAAAAGTCTTCTTATGCATGTAAATATCATGAAATATCTGCCCACATATTTAGTTCCCTGACTTATTCATCACAGTTTTATAGTTTTCTTTAGGTTTAAAGGCAGTTTTTACACTTTTATTAGAGTATTTAATTTTGGCTTTATGTTTTCAATTTCATATTTCACTTATGCTGTATAAGAAGAGATCAAAGATCAAAGAGATCAAAGTGTCAAAGCTCAAAGGGGGAAAAAAACCAACAAACCCATGCAAAACACTCTAGACAAAAACACAGGCTGCAGGTGGAAAAACTTTTGGTAGGGGGCCACCCAACTTTTGCACTCTGATTGGTTGGTACCCATGAAGAAAATGGTCCAATCAAAGTTGGTTTAAGGGTTCCTTCTCATCCAATCAGAACAAGCCCCCTGGTAGGCCTCATTTGAATACGGAGTCTATAAAAGGGCCGCTTGGGCCGACCCCGCCATTTTCTCCCATCTTTCGGCTGGGGTGCGCGTGTCTCTCTGCGTCCCGGCCTCCAGCGTGGACGTAAGCCGCTCAGATGGACTTCGCGCGGAACCGGAGATGCAGAACCGGGTCTGCCGCCTCCCGGAAAGCGTCCAGTGCCTCTCCGTTCTCCAGCATGTCATCCCGGGTGAGTCTTCATTATCAAAGTTTGCTAGGGAGGTTGTGACCACGGGCCCTGGACACTCCATACTGGAGGGCGGAGTGGGGAAAGAAGAGTGAATGAGCTGCCTTTTCCTATGGGTGTGTGGATGTGTTCCTGGAATGGGGTGCTGGTGGTGCCAGGTGCCCCCTTGAAGGAACTGCCTGACCTCCTTGTCATCTCTAGGTAAGGAGAGGAACCTTAGGCCGGGCAGGAGAAAGAGTGGCTCTGCTGGCCACTAATTGTCCACTAGCTTGGTCCCAGATTTATCCGTCTGGGGCCATTCTGGGCATAGGGAGTCACCTGGTACTGTTAGAGATTCAGGTTCAGCGTGTCAGGAGCCTACCCGGCAGGTGGGTGAAACACTGGGTGAGTCACCTCTTCCTGTTGGCCGGGGGCACTAGGGTCCCATGACCCTTTGTTTGTTATTTCTGTGTTTGAGAGTTCTTTGGTTGCGTCTCTTGTTGTTTGCAAGGCTTAGTTTTCTTTTGTGGAGAGGTGGTTTCTATTACCTCCTCTGTTAGCTCAGGAGTCATAAGTTGTCGTTGAAGGTCCTCAGGCACAGCTGCCTCTTTGGGGACCTTGGGCGCTTGCCATGCGACGCTGGGCCCTGCTGCTTGGACATGCTTGCCTCAGCCTAGTGCGCTGCACAGACTTGACCATGGAGGCTGGCTCCCGGCCACCTTCCCCTCCCAGAGCCTGAGGCACACACGTCGGACACACCAGGGGCTGCACTCTGCAGGCTCTCAGCACTTGCTTCTGTAGTCTCTGTGTCTATGGAGAACAGTCACACAGACACAGAGACAGGAGACAGGAGGCCTTGCGGGGAGCCTCCAGCCAACCACCCCGTGCTGGCAGTCAGGAAGCTGCCC